TTTCACTGTTGGCACAGGATTTTCCTTACCTTATATTTACAAATAGGGAGTCATAAGCATAAACCAGGGTATGGACCTACCTACTTGGTGTAAGTTGGTATTCTGATAAAAAGGATGAGTAGCGTGAGTTAATATTAGCAATAGTTAATAGACTGTTCATGTATGATAATTGTAATTTTAATTGATCCAACAATAAAATCCACGCATGTATCGCAACTTAGCCCTTAAATAATAATAATAATAATAATAATAATAATAATTTTGTAATAAAGAATATATTAGCTATATTACATTTTGATTTTCAAATAAAATTATAAAAAAGAATAAAGATTTTTGATACTGCTTTTATTTATTTGTCAATATCAGTTACAACAAATATTTTATTAATAAAGTTTATTAAATTATATAAAAATCTAAACTTTGATTTTTTTATTAATTAAAAATTGAAATAATTTATTATATAAAAAAGGATTATATTAAAAAAATTTTTTAGATTTTACTTTAAAAATATTTTAAAATTAAAATACAATTAATAAACTTTGAACTATACAATAATTGGTATTTAATTTGATTAAAAACCAAATAAAAAAAACTTTAAATTAATTATTTAAAACTATTTTACAAATATTTATATAGTAATATAACTAAAATTTGAATTTTAAGTTAAATTAATTAAACTAACATTAGAGAATATATTAGATAAATAAATTAATTCAATTAAACTTATAATATATATACTGTTAAAAATTTTATTATTTTCATAATTGATTAATTAGCTTTCAATATATGTTATACTTAATCAGTCACAAATCATTTATCAAAATTAGCTAGGTTATATAAAGATAAGACCTTTGATCTTTTTGATAATTATAAAATAAAAACAGTTTGAAGCAAAAAAGGTTATACAAGAAAAGATTTCTGATTTAACTCCCAATAAAAACTCACATTCTTTTTTGGCATGGCAAACTCTATTATATAAAGAATATCCTAGCTTGAAACTATTCTAATCTGATACTTACTTAAAAGAAAAAGAACTGATAGCAAGGGAAATCTAAAGCCACAGGTGATAACAATGAGTACAGTACCTTCTTTGAGATATCAAGTGAAAATATTAAACAAGTTATCCAATTGTTCTACTCAATCCTGAAAGATACACATCCTTTAACAAAAGTCAAGATCTAGATTAGGTTAGATAGTTTATAAACTAGTGATAGTATTTCTATCTTCTAAAGATCCCATCTAATGTGTGAATCCACCTTCGAAAGTGGTTCAAGCTTATATAACTGGGTAAGACTATAGGTAAGGGAGCAGGTTTAATTAAATGAACCTATACAGTCATGTACTTTGGATATAAATTACTCAAATAAAATCATGTGCTGTGAGCACCCTTTACCCGAAAAAAAAAAATATGTATACTGTTAAAATATATAGTATAAGTTTAAACTATATAAATTTAATAATAATGTCAACCACGCTATGTTTTCGAGGCTACTCTTTTACCCGAGTATTCGTGTACAGTGATTCTCACATTATGGATGGTCGATAATTCATTATAACCTTTCCTACTTTAGTTTCTCACGCCGTTGGTATCGATTTGTGGATCTTATACCTTCGGTACACCATGAATGCAAGTGCAGACATGATTAGTCCAAAAAAAAAACAACCTATTGCGACACCAGTAATCACTCCTACATCGGTTTTAGTAGTAACTTGGGTAATAACATGGGTAACGTTATCGGTTGCAACAGGTGTTAGCTCAAAGAGATTAGTTGGAT